AGAAATCGTCAGCTGAAGTTGGCCGGAAAGGTGGCCGAAAAGTTAGAAATATGGTTTCGGTGAGGAAGCTCGGCGGCGCACTCTGGCGGATACACTCATCAGAGTTTCAGAATAAGAGTGGCCAAAGTTTAGGGTTTCAGGTACTATTCCTTCATAAAGACTGTAGCTTTGTTAAATTTTTATATATTATATATGATTCTTGTTCTTTACTTAAATCTAATTAAGATTTCTGCCTAGTGTAATAATGCTTTATGGTTGATGATGGTTTCAGTGTTATAGTTCTTTAATTCTGATTTTCCTTGAATTTGTGGTCCGTTTGAGAAACCAATAAGATTGCTACTTTTGCATTTATCTTTGGTAGATTAGTACTAATTTTCATTTTTCTTGTCTACTTTGGTAGCATTTTTGGGACCATGGCCTTTCTTCATCCTCGTGTGACTTTGAGGGATTATGATTTATTATGGTCTTCATTTTACAGTTTGGAAATGCTCATGTTGGAGACTCGATTCACGGTGATCATGTTAATGAAGTGCATAGTTCTTATGCAAAGGACCTGGTACATAGTCCACATTCTGTCTCTGGTCGAAAGAATGGGCTTCTATACAAGGTATTGTTTTCTTCGATATGTTCCTTTTCCCCAATTTTGTACCGGAAGATATGTGGTTTCTTGACATTGAGTTGGTTACGAGAACTTGGATCGATTTGATTAACAAATATAGGGTTGTCTTTATCTTTGTTCTTGACTTTTAATTTTTAGCCTTTCTATCTAATCTTGGAAATACTTCTATTACTTGCAGTTTGAGCCCTCATTTCAAGTTTACGACTCAATGGAGGGGGCAACAAAGTGGGATCCTGTTGGCTGGAAAACATCAGATGCATTAAAGCAAGTGTTTGGTCAACACATACTCAACCAACGGACAAATTCTGCTCCTGTGATATCTGCCCTCGAGGTAGAACTTGAGCAGGCTCGATCCAGAATTAATGAACTTGAGACTGAGCGTCGCTCTTCAAAAAAGAAAGTAGAGCAATTCTTGCGGAAACTCAGTGAAGAAAGGACCGCTTGGAGGAGCAGAGAGCATGAGAAAATCCGTTCAGTTATCAATGACATCAAAGCTGACTTGAGCAGAGAAAAGAAAAATCGTCAAAGACTGGAGATGGTCAATTCTAAGCTCGTTAATGAGTTGAATGATGTCAAACTATCTGCAAAGCGCTATATGCAGGATCATGAAAAGGAACGAAAGTCCAGAGAGTTGATAGAGGAAGTCTGTGATGAACTAGCTGGAGAACTTGGAGAATATAAGGCTGACGCAGAAGCATTAAAGAGACAATCAATGAAACTCCAGGAGGAAGTCGAAGAAGATAGGAAGATGTTGCAGATGGCTGAGGTTTGGCGTGAGGAACGAGTCCAAATGAAACTTGTTGATGCAAAGGCAATGCTTGAAGAAAAGTATTCCCAGATGAGCAGGCTAATAGTAGATCTCGAGACATTTATGAATTCTAAAAGTGCGACTTCAAATGTGGACGAGAAGAAGAAGGCCGAGTTTCTCCAACAGGCAGCTGCTTCTGTCAACATGCAGGGCATCAGGGAGATAAAGTATGAACCGCCAAATCCAGACGATATTTTATCAGCTTTCGAAGATGTTAATCTTGGTGCAACCATCGAGGAGGAGGTCAATCCATGTGTATCATACAGTCACAGCAGCCATGCGTCTAAAATTCACACCGTGAGCCCCGAAGTGAATGTGTTCAATAAAGACGATGCTTGGAGACATTCTAATGCATATTTTGACCAGACTGGCGAGTTAGAAGAGGACACGAGTGAGTGGGAAACCGTGAGCCATCTTGATGATCAAGGATCAAGTTTTTCACCTGACAGAAGTGATCAACGTGTCGACAAAAATGACCAGACGCCAGTCTCAGATGTTAGTGAAGTCTGCTCTTTGCCAACACGGCATAGGAAGAAGGTTTCGTCCATATCTAGGCTTTGGAGATCACACCCGAGCAGTGGTGATAATCACAAGATCATTTCGATCAATGGAATAAATGGGCTTTCAGATCACGGTTCTGCCAAAGGACTTAGTCCTCAAGATTCAGTTGGACAATTGAGCTCACCTGACTTGGGGAATCCAAACATTACTCAGGGGATGAAAGGGTGCATTGAATGGCCGCGAAATGCACACAAAAATAGTTTGAAAGCCAAACTTCTAGCAGCAAGGATGGAGAGTCAAAAGATCCAGTTGCGCCAAGTTCTAAAGCAAAAATATTAGAGAGAGCAAGTTATGGACGTTTGATTTTGCTTAGTGGAACTATAAAACAGCCAAGTTTCTTCAAAACCGCGCAAGCCACTCATCTTCAAAACTCCGTAAATCTTCTGAGAAACCAGGAGAGATTTGGTTTATTGTAAAGCCAAGGGAGATTTGGTTTATTGTCTCTATTCACTAGCTTTAACTGATCATAGTAAGCATCATTCAATAATTTAGATAAGCCTGCAGTTTATTTGTTTAGATGAGCCGGCATCGGTTTTGTATATGATCAGCAATGAGTAAATTTCGTTATGTACTGGTTTCTATGTCCCGATTTGTACTGGAAAAAAGGTTGAAATGCTGTTGCATTCGTAATTTGGCTGCTAGAACGAACACTTGAAAATGGAAATATACTAGTGTATTTAGCTGCTAAGTGTTCAATAGTTGGAAATGTTCAGGCATGCTAGTTCGAATTGTCAGTAGTGTTCATAAACCTTCTTGTTTACCGTTATAATAAATAGAATGATTTACTAGATATTTCTCAAATGTAGATTGATCTTATATGAAATTAAGCTTCTATCTTCATTCTAGAGTCCAACTTTAGCCCCTGTTTGGCTTGGATTTATAATGGCGTTTTAAAAAATAAAATAAAAAAATGGATGGTTGTAAAAGAATGAAATTTTTTTTTATTTGCATGTAATATTATTTTATTGAAGATTGTGTAATTAAAAATAGAAGAGTGAAAAATTTAAATTAAATTGATGAATTTTAATGGCGGCCAAACAGAGGCTAAGTATCGATTTTTTTCCTCGAACTAGGTTGTGAAAACATCGATCCTTTACCAATCAGAACGCCCCATTTTTCTGCGCAGCCCTTTCGTAAAAAATCATCACCTTAGCCACCAATGTTTAGGCTCTCGAAATAAGAACAATCAATTTCTAGTTATATGTACAACAGAAAGGAGCACTATCGGCATTGCTCAATTATGAGCTAACTTTTTTTAAGCTTTTATTCAACAATTAAAAGAGCTTATAAGAAAGAAAAAAACAAAACCTGGGCACTTGTGAGACCCTAAAACACTCATAATTTAGCTTAAAAGTAAAGTCTCCAACACGTTTGGCTTGGATTTATAATGGCGTTTTAATGTTTGGCTTGGATTTATAATGGCGTTTTAAAAAATAAAATAAAAAAATGGATGGTTGTAAAAGAATGAAATTTTTTTTTATTTGCATGTAATATTATTTTATTGAAGATTGTGTAATTAAAAATAGAAGAGTGAAAAATTTAAATTAAATTGATGAATTTTAATGGCGGCCAAACAGAGGCTAAGTATCGATTTTTTTCCTCGAACTAGGTTGTGAAAACAACGATCCTTTACCAATCAGAACGCCCCATTTTTCTGCGCAGCCCTTTCGTAAAAAATCATCACCTTAGCCACCAATGTTTAGGCTCTCGAAATAAGAACAATCAATTTCTAGTTATATGTACAACAGAAAGGAGCACTATCGGCATTGCTCAATTATGAGCTAACTTTTTTTAAGCTTTTATTCAACAATTAAAAGAGCTTATAAGAAAGAAAAAAACAAAACCTGGGCACTTGTGAGACCCTAAAACACTCATAATTTAGCTTAAAAGTAAAGTCTCCAACAAGCAAGATGATGAAAACGAAGAGCATACAGTAAGGCTAAACAGTAATAAACCATATGACCATCCGACTGTCATCAGACACCATCGATAACATTAGAGGTTAAATAGTTCTCTCTTTTATATTTCAAAGTCGATGGGGCTCACAGCCCAAATATGTCACCTCTAGATTATTGAGAAGTTTGGGTGCAAACACAATGAGAGGCTAATGGCCATTATAGTGCAGCTATGCACTCAATTTCAATCTTTGCATCCATTGGTAGTGCCGCCACCTGGTAAGTTGAACGAGCCGGAGCAGGTGATGGAAAATCTGCAATGTTACAAATATAGGTACAGATTAAATGATCGACCATTAAAGAATCTCCGAGAGTGCTCTTTATTTTAAAGAACGTCTTCTATCACATGAAAGGTCTTAAGGAATTTCCCCAATAAAAGAGGGAAAAAAGAGTCAAATTTTCTACACAACTGCAATAACACTCACTATATTCATTCATTATTTTGCCCTTTCCCATAAGCAATTATTGTTCATGAAGAATTAAATAGAAAATTGTGCACTTATAAATGAAGCATAGTATAGAGAGAGTGGATTTGAGTCTCTACATTTGGAGAGTCGAATCCACTCTTGATTTTGATTTTTGAAGATAAAGGGTGTATTGGACACCTAAAAGAAGAGGTTCGACTCTCTAAAATAAAGAAAACAAGATTAATAAAGAGCCTACTGGAGATGCTCTTACTATCTTAAAATGTCAATTCAGCATTAATACATACATGGAATAGTTCTCCCAAAAAATAAAAAAATAAAAAAAAAATAAAAAAATGAGTTGGTCTGGAGAACATGATTAGAATTACCAAGCTTAGGACAAGGATATTAGCAAAATGCAGGCTACGTGTTACAGAAGATGCTCACATGATTTGACAGACAGGTTTAAGAAAGATCAATGGATAATGCGTATCTAATTTGACATATTTGATAGCCTTTAATCTATAGATTTAATCAACTTGGAAATTGATAATACGGAAATACTCACGAGCTTTTCACTAGGAGGTCAAACACCATCCATACAACTACTGCTGAAATTCATTCCATTTTAGAAATTTAAAGCATTAGACATTTGTATTCATATTTACATTGTAAGGTACATGGACATTAAAAAAGCATTACAAATTTGCACAGAACTAAATTTGAAAGGAAACATTCTCATACAAACATTTGGGGTTTCATACTAAGGTCGTATAAGAAGTTGTAGAGGCACCCGTTCATCAAATGCTGTGTCAAAATCAATTGTTAAACTCTAGAGGTACGAATGGTGTGGCTTAAATAAATCAGCATTAAGCTAACAAGAGAGGAAACTGAATTTATAATAATTTTCAGGAAAGTGAGTTTTTCAAAAAGGTACATGGATACAGGAAACAATTAGCACTGTTTGCTATTGGAAGAGACAAAAGGACGTGCTAAGCAATTTAATCTTCAAATGGTTTTCTTGTAGTTCATGCAAAGAAATAGGCATGCAGGGACCAATTCCTATCAGTTGCATCTTCATATATATGCAGAATCCAAGCAAAATAAATTATATAAACAGATAAGAGTTAAATCCTAAATACTCACATTTAGCATAGATTTCATTCACTTTCTTGAAGTCTTTCAGATCAGCCAACCTGTAAAGAAACAAAATGCAATATCAATTGCACAAACCAAGATGTTGTTCGGTGATGAAATGTGTGTTTGTCCATCTACGTGTGCATGTAATTGAGCTTGCTTGCGTGTAAGAGAGAGAGAGAGAGAAATTGCAACAAGATCACGCACATGATTGTTGTCTTGAGCACTGAGGAATAGCTGGCACCACTCGCTTTAAGTATCTCACCCATATTCTTGAGAACCTAGCAATTTAAACCTACATCAGTAAGCTATCCACTCCAGAAACTGAATACTGTGATTGTTAACTGCCAATTGTTGAAAATAAAGCCACAATTGTTGACTAAATTCATGCTACCTTACTTAACAACCAAGAAAGCACATGCATGCAGGAAGGAAGTGGCAAAATTGGAGTTTTCTTTTCCAGCTTTCTCCAGCCAAGTTGCAGCTTCTATTGTTGACATTTTCAACCAATTAATGGCGATGGAAATCCAGTTTTTTCCAGCAAATAACCAGCTTTGATCCAGCCATATTACAACCACTTTTCTTGACCTTTCCAAGCAACTAAGGAGGTGGAAATTGTCTGATACAGGTGAGGGCTAAATAGAAAAGGTGCGGTTTTTGGAGAGAAAAATTAAGGGAGTAGAGAGATAAAAATTATTGTTTTCTCCTAGATATTTCCTACTTGTTTTTTCCTATTACAAGAGAGATTAATTGTCGTTATCTCCTTATATTTAGAGTGTGTGTTGTAATTCTCCTACTATAGTAAAATCCTCCTATAGTTACCCGTGGACGTAGCCTAAAGTTGGGTGAATCACGTAAATACTTGTGTCTATTTTTAGTTGCGTTTTCTCAATTCCATTATTTGTCAGCCAAACTCCACATTTCACCCCCATTTTAGGCTACGTCCACGGATAAGTATAGCAGGATTTCACAATAGTAGGAGAATTACAATACTCCCTCTAAATACAAGGAAATAACAACAATTAATCTCTCCTGTAATAGAAGAAAACAAGCAGGAAATATTTAGGAGAAAACAATAATTTTCTCTCTAGTCCCTTAATTTTTCTCTCAATTTTTTCTCTCCAAACACGACACATTTTCTCTTTGGCCCTCACCTGTATTTATAGATAATTTTCACCTCCTTGGTTGCTTGGAAAGGTCAAGAAAAGTGATTGTAATATGGCTGGATCAAAGCTGGTTATTTGCTGGAAAAAACTGCCATTAATTGGTTGAAAATGTCAACAATAGAAGCTGCAACTTGGCTGGAAAAGAAAACTCCAATTTTGCCACTTCCTTCATGCATGCACGTGCTTTCTTAGTTGTTAAGTAAGGTAGCATTAATTTAGTCAACAACTGTGGCTTTATTTTCAACATTTTGGTGCTAGAAGGAGGGTTTGAACCTCCGACCTTGTGGTTAACAGCCACAACCGGTTGAAAATGTCAACAATAGAAGCTGCAACTTGGCTGGAAAAGAAAACTCCAATTTTGCCACTTCCTTCATGCATGCACGTGCTTTCTTAGTTGTTAAGTAAGGTAGCATTAATTTAGTCAACAACTGTGGCTTTATTTTCAACATTTTGGTGCTAGAAGGAGGGTTTGAACCTCCGACCTTGTGGTTAACAGCCACAACCACAAACTGATCTAAAAACGCCTGTGGAAATGTGGACTAGTAAACCTGCTGATTATTCTTGCTTACATATGTTTGGAAGTCCTATGTACGCTATTTACAACACCCCAAGAAACATCAAAACTGAATCCAAAATCCAAAAAATGTATTTTCTTAGGATATGCTGATGGCGTGAAGGGGTACCGCCTGTGGGATTCCACTGTCCACAAGGTGATAATCAGCAGAGATGTCATATTTGCAAAAGGTAAGATACTGAAAAGGAAAATGATAGTACTTCAAAAGAAAAATCAAAAACTACTACAATCGAAATTGAAGAGGAATGAGAAGTCATAGATTCTTCTGAACCAACACTAGAGCACGAAGAACAAGAACAAGTTGAGTCTAGTGCTCCAGATACTCGATAATCAACACGGGAAAGATGAGAATGGCTTGGCACTCAGATTACATTATGCCGTCGTGAACTGTCTCTTAATGCCTTCTTGTTAACAAAAGTTATTAAATTCATCACATTATATTCTCCTCCATTGTCAGTCCTTAGACACTTGATCTTCTTTTCAGATTCAAGCTCCACACGCGTTTTGAATATTTTGAAGACTGCAAACACATCTGCCTTCCTCTTGATAGGATACACCCAACATCTCCAGGGGTAATAATCAATAAAAGATACAAAGTATCTTGCACCTCCTAGGGATATAACCGGTGCTTGCCAAACATGGGAATGGACCAACTCCAAGAGAGCTTTGACCAACTCCAAGATAGCTTTACTTTTAGTAGTGGAACTGCTGAACTTCAATCTATACTACTTACTAGTAACACAATGCTCACAAAAGGGTAATGAAACCTTTTTAAGCCTTGGAAGAAGCTTTTGTTTTGAGAGAATTTTCAAACCACGTTCTGACATGTGGCCAAGGTTGCGATGCGACATCATCGTTAATTCCTCTGCTGAACCTATCGATGCGATAGATGCTTCTCCTTCTTGTAGTGTCTCTCCTTTAAGCATGTACAAATTTGCAGCTATCTTTTCCACTTTCATCACCACAAGTGTGCCTTTGATTATTTTCATGACCCTATCTTATACATGGGTCTTGCAGCCAATGCTATCTAATTATCCTAAAGACAATAGATTTTTCGTCAAGCCTTTTATGTGCCATACCTCTTGGATAATGCGAATTGAACCATCATACATTTTCAATTTGACGGTAGCAATACCAACGATCTCCAAGGCATGATCATTTCCCATAAACACAGATCCTTCTGGGATAGGCTCATATTGATGGAACCATTCCCTCCTTGGTGTCATATGCCATGTAGCTCTTGAGCCCATAAGCCAGACATCAAAAAATTTCTTTCTGCCTTCAACAACTGTTGCTGCCTCGTTGTATAAAATTTCACCCTCATCTGAGGTGTTTGCTACACAACCTTGAGCTTTTGACGTCTCAGAACCTTTTCCTTTGGCTTCTTCAATCTTTTTGAGACTTCAACAATCCCTTTTTAAGTGTCATTTCTTGCCACGGTAATGACACTTAACATTTTTTTTACTCTTGGATTTTGATCTACTCTAATTATGACTCCCACTGAAGCCACATTCTGTTGATCTCCCTCTCATCATCGTCAAAGCTTCCGTCTGATGTAAACTTGTCGATCTATCCTCCTTGTTCTTGCGCCGACTTTCCTCTTGAAGAACAGCAGTTGCAACGTCATCGAAGACTAAAGTTTCAAGGTTGTTGATTAAGTTGATGATGAGTTGATCATAAGATTCTGGTAGACTTTGAAGTAAGATTTCAGCACGTTTACCGGCCTCTATATTATGCTCCATTGATGTGAACTGTGAAAATAGAGTGTTGAGGGTGTTGATGTGGTCGGTCACTGTATGCATCAGCAGTGGGTAGTTTTGATGTTTGCTATGATCTGTACAAAACCAGACATTACACAAATAGTGGGAGCGGTTAGTCGATACATGGAAAGTCTTGATAAAGAGCATTGGACTACCGTAAAGAAGATCTTGAGATATATCAAAGTACCTCAAATGCTACATTATGTTATGTAGGATCAGATTTTATTGTCTATGTTGATTCAAATTATGCAGGTGACCTTGATAAAAGTAAGTCCACCACAGGATATGTGTTTACTCTTGCTGGAGCAGCTGTAAGTTGGGTTTCGAAACTGCAGTCTATCGTGGCTACTTCTACGACGGAGGCAGAATACGTGGCAGCCACACAAGCTAGCAAAGAGGCAATACACAAGCTAGCAAAGAGGCAATCTGGTTGCAAATGTTAATAGAGGAGCTCGGAAACAAACAAGAGAAAATTGCTCTATTTTGTAATAGTCAGAGCACTTTGCACTTGGCAAAGAATCCAGCATTTCATCAGAAGACAGCCACTCGAGTTCAATATCACTTTGTTCGAGAAAATGTGGAAGAAGAAAGTGTGGATATACAGAAAATTCATACAGTAGACAACCTAGCAGATATGTTGACAAAGTCAATTAGTACTGACTAGTTCATATGGTGTCGATCTTCCATCAACCTAGCAGAAACGTAAATAGCATGGAAATGGCAAATTAAGAAGGATAGAAGTGGTCAACAAAAGTTACTTTATGTGGGAGAAATGTTGAAAATAAAGTCACAATTGTTGACTAAATTGATACTACCTTACTTAACAACCAAGAAAGCACATGCATGCACGAAGGAAGTGGCAAATTTGGAGTTTTCTTTTCTAGCTTTCTCCAGACAAGTTGCAGCTTCTATTGTTGACATTTTCAACCAATTAATGGCGGTGGAAATCCCATTTTTTTCTAGCAAATAACCAACTTTGATCCAGCCATATTACAACCACTTTTCTTGACCTTTCCAAGCAACTAAGGAGGTGGAAATTGTCTATAAATACAGGTGAGGGCTAAAGAGAAAGGTACCGTGTTTGGAGAGAAAAAATTGAGAGACAAAAATTAAGGGAGTAAAGAGATAAAAATTAGATAGAAAAAATTATTGCTTTCTCCTAAATATTTCCTACTTGTTTTCTCCTATTATAAGAAAGATTAAGTGTTGTTATCTTCTTGTATTTAGATAGTGTGTTGTAATTCTCCTACCATAATGAAATCCTTCTATACTTGCCCGTGGACGTAGCTTAAAATTGGGTGAACCACGTAAATACTTGTGTCCATTTTTAGCTGCGTTTTTTTAATTCCATTATTTGTCAGCCAAACTTGACCCACGTTTCACCCCAACACCAATGTTATAACAAGACAATACTATATACATTTAGTATAGACAAAAAGAAAATTATTCACTTCATACGTTTGCTATTGAAACATAGCCTATAAAAAAAAATAGAACAATGCTTGTGTATACACAGCATTACACCGCCTTCACATGGAGGGGGTCCACATACAATAAAATATTCGTGGGGCCCCCCTCCATGTGAGGGGTGTAATCCATTGTGTCACCATGAGGTGCACATAGAATTATTGAAATAAATAATACCAGAGTTCATATATGACAGCGTACCTGCGCAGTTTGATCCTCCACATTATCCGAGACAAACTTTCTAGTCTGCATACAAGCATGAGAGAAATTATGACAACCACTCTTTAAACTTTTTGTTTTGTTTTAACTAGTAAATAAAACTATACATATATAGAGATCATGTATACAATAGTAATTAGATGGTTAAAGGAAATAGTTGATATTGTATGGTCAGTGGACACAACAAACCTCTGGAATTAGTCCAAGAACTCCAGACATGAAAAGCATATGATTTGCTTTGATGGCTTGAGAATATGGCCCCAATGCTGCTGGAGCCTTTTTTGTCTGAACGGCTTCCTTTTTGCCTAGGTTCAGTTGCATATTGTGAAACAGATGAGCATCACAATACAAATTGTTGTTTCTAGAGTTTGAATTCACTCCTTCGAAAACAATCGGACAGAATTACCTGAATGCAGGAATTGATCAACAGGATCAGAAATTGTAATTCGAGCCCACCGACTTCACGATGTGTCCTTAAAACGAATTTGCTGCCTTCAATGGTGCTAAAGGCGTCCAGCAATCATTTCCCAGGATAGAACGAATTTTTCGTCTCCTACGGAAGCAGCACTGCAGTCTGTAGGAGTTCCAACGAACTCAACGAAGTGTTTTTGACTTCGAGACAATATCAGAACGAGAGAGAGGGAAATGAGATTCAAAGCACAGAAAGTTTGCAATGAAAATGGTGTAAATTTTCTGGTAGAAAGGCTGGCTATTTATAGACTTGTTCGTGGCCATTCGAACAGTCATCACCTTTCAAACAAGCCTCAAAAATCCGAACAGACATACTGTTCTTAAAAGTCGTGTCTGTTAAGTCGGTTAACAGTCGGCTAACGACTGTTTAGTCGGTAAACAGTCGACTGTTTGGTCAGTAAACAGTTGAAACAGTCGACTGTTACAAGAAAATAAAACACCCGGAATAAGCCAAAATTTAAATAAATTTTGTACCCAAGAAATTTGATTATTTACAATTTGGCCCAAAAAATCACCCGGAATAAGCCAAAATTTTAAAT